TAACAGAAGGGACTGCCATGGGGCCTGGGTTTTTGCACAGCACACTTTCGCATGAAGTAAAGTAAAGTAATGGTACATGTACATTATACATGTATTTATACAGTCGTTTAGTCATGCATCTTTTTGCTTGCTGATTTAATGGGTTGGGGTCTTTACTTGTTCGTTTCTGTTCATATATATAAATAAATATATATATATATATATACACATACACACACACATTCACATTACCATGAGACTTACTCACATATGGCTGTATGCATGCAAGCATACATGTTTTCTGCACATATACACATATTCATACGTACATACATACGCACGTACATACATACATTACATACATACATACATACATACATACATACATACATACATACATACGTACATACATACATACATACATGCATACATACATACATCCGTACATACATCCATACATACATACATACATACATTCATACGCACATACATGTTTATGTGCAAGTAGCAAGTACGCAAGCACATAATTAGCTGTATTCCACTCCTCTATCAGGTTCTGGTCAGTCGTGCGCATGTTCTGAATATTTTTATAATAGTCTATGTGTGCATGTGTGCGGGTGCATACTGTCGAATTATCCTTTGTCCTTCGATTATCGCTCTCTTTCTTTGTATCATACCTATTCTACGTCTGTATGTATTTTAATACCTATATATATATATATATATATATAGACAGCTTTGTCTATCTATACCTACAACGTGTATATATATATATGTAAAAAAAGTATATGCCTATACAAACAGACGCTTTAAATAGATCGACTGGAGGCCGAGCGGCCTCCTCTCTCCTGGCACCTTCTCCTGCCGGATGCTCAAATCGCAGTGGGAGTGTGGGGCTTGGGCTTAGGACTTTGGAGTTTAGGGTTTAGGGTTTAGAGTTTCGGGTTTAGGGTTTAGGGTTTGGGCGGGTTTAGGGTTTCGGGAGAAGGGTCTAGGGAAGCGTGTTTCAGGATGAGGTTTGTAGCGACACAGCTGAGCTACCGCAAAACCCCAAAACCCGTTAACTTGTAGCCTCCGAAGGGCTCCTTTTCAAGGGCCATGCCCTGCTCAATCCCTAAAACCTCCTAAACCCTATAAACACCTGAAACCCCTGAACCTGAAATCCCTAAGCCCTAAACCCCCAAAAGTAGACCTTGTAGATCCTTCAGAGGACCCCTTGAAGGACTCATTGAAAGAATCCTTGAAACCCCCAGGGCCCGAAGGCCAAAGCCTGACCGGTCCAAGGCTACGAGCTTCGTACGATGACAGCTCCCTCAAGGCAAGGAAGAAAGGAAGAGGGCCGGGCTCGTAGGGTTTAGGGTTTAGGGTTTAGGGTTTAGGGTTTAGGGTTGGGTTTAGGAGATTCTAGGAGCGTAGGGTATAGGGTTGTTGGGTTTTGGAGGTTTTCGGGGTATGGTATAGGGTTTGGGAGATTTTAGGAGTACAGGGTTGTAGGGTTTAGGTTTAGGAGGGTTTTTAGGAGTATAGGGTATAGGATTTGTGAAATTTTAGGAGTACAGGGTTGTAGGGTTTTGGAGGTTTTGGGAGTGTAGGGTACAGGGCTCAGGGGATTTTAGGAGTATAGGGTTGTGAGGTTTAGGGCCTAGCCTATACAGGGTTTCAGGGTTTGGGTGTTTTGTGTTTACAGAGCAGGGGTTTAGGGCCTATGGGTTCAGGGTCTCGGGTTGTTCACACTATAGGGTTTGTGGAAAGGCTAGTAGAAGCACGGGGGTGGAGGAGGGGGGGGTCCATGCAAGATCTTCTCTGAAGCACAGGCTTAGGTCTGTATCTCTTTATCACGTCATGTACCACGACAATGGGTGGTACATGGCCACAACAGCAGGCACCATTATGAACCATGATAGCGATTAGGCCTAAGATGCGAAAGAAAGCAAGTGGAATCGCAGTTTCCAACCCTTCGTCCTGGGTTCAAGTCCTTCCCATGCTTTTTTCCGTGGTGCTGATTCAGGATTCGAAGCGGTTCGGATCCACGGCGTGAGGGAATAATTGCGTACTGCTGGAACATACAATCGTGATTCAGGTTTCTCGCTTCGGCTTCATGGAGTGAGTTAGCATTCCTTGGGCGAAGGTGTGCATGTTTGGTTTCTGATCGATGTCTTGATGCGGCCGTTGGCTCAAAGAACCCTACCCCATAAAGCTCCCCACTCAATCTCTACCCTAAACCCGACGCCCCAAAGCCTGAAACTTAAAGGGTCCTGAACCCCACACCTCCATCCAGTGGTGTTTCCGAAGGCAACAACAGTTGCAGACTGGCTGGCAGAGGCCCTTGACGGTAGCAACAGCTTTCGTATGCTGCCTTCAAGGATCAGTCGCAGTCAGAAAGCCTGCAGCACAAGAGAGAATGGTTGGACCGCGGTAGAATGTTTCATTGTGTGCCAACCGAACTGTATAATGTGCCATCATGACAGCACAGCAGTACGATCAGCAAAGACATGAAGGCAGAGCGACGTAGTGTTCGATGCTGAATATGTAGGTGCGCAACATTAGTGCGCATGTGCGATGATGGAATGGTACAGTGACAGTGCTTACATAGCACTGTAGCAATAAGGCTAGCAGGTACGCCGTGGTCCAGCAGTCGACTATCTTGCAATCTGCTAGTTTCCTCATGGCATGCGACAACAACTTCATGAGCCATGTGCACAGAAACACCCGTTATCGCAGCCCCGCACGGCCCAATAGCGTCAGTAGCTTCCTGAGGCTTAGTACATCGTGCTCGTCGCGGTAATGCGCTTGGTAGCATCATGGAGTGCATCCCCATCCCATCCCCGAAGCCCCAAAATGTATTCCTTAAGGTTCACTGGTAGAACTATAGTTGACTATACACCCAAAGCACAGACCTACATGGGGGTTTCCCAAAATAGGGGACCCTAAAATAGTACCCCAAATAGTAGGACCCTTATTATAAGGACCCCAAAACAGCACCCCTTATTTTCGGAAAGTCCCACATCACCAGGCCAACACTGGGCATCCAGACTCTGTGGACTCCCAAGCCATTGATGTTTTTGAAGCCTCAGCCCCCGCAGTGGACAAACAAGTAACCCGAGACATGTTGTCTAGACTGGTAGTGGCTGTCCTTCTCGCTCTGTGGTATAGTAGATCCATGTGTTTATATACACTGTACCTACCTTCGTCTAGAAGCACAGCCATGATCAGCATCGGCGTTCAAATTTTCACTGCTGTGGGTAGGCGAGCAGACATCAGCGGTAATTATAAGACTTCTAAGCTCTTCTGTGCATCCAGACCTGAACCATGGCCCTACCCTAAAGGTCCAAGTACCTAGTAATCATATACTCTCCCAAATAGTAACCTCCATGACTACTATCCGAAACCTAAGTCCCTGATTGTTGTGTCCTTTGGACCCTTGGGGCTATGCTTTGCGAAGCCAGGTGTTGGACCTGCCGAGCGAGATCGCTACAACGCGTGCGCAGGCCAGAACCTTTTCTTGCTTGGTGCTGTGTAGTAGCCTTATCATAAACTACCCCTAGGCCCCACAGTAGTTCCTTTTTGTGGCTTCTATTTAGGATCCTATTAGGTAATCCCAAAAAGGAGCTACTATGGGGCCTATGGGTCCTAAATAGAATCCCAAAAAGGAACCACTATGGGGCCTATGGGTAGACCGTAAAGCCTAAGTCGAGTGGGCGAGGCCGCTGTGACGCGCCCAGCCGTACACCTCGCGACCTTTCCAGCCTGGTCTGAAGTGACTGAGAAGGCCGACTCTTCGTGGGTTTGGAGGGTTTATTGGGGTTTAGGGTTTATAGGGTTTAGGGTTTATAGGGTATAGGGCTTATAGGGTTTATAGGGTTAAGGGTTTATAGGTTTAGGGTTTAGGGTTTATTGGGGTTTAGGGTTTAGGATTTAGGGCCTTTTTGAGGGTTGTGGAGTTCGTGGTTCAGAGTAAGGACGTGGGGTTCAAGGTATCGGTTTCCCGGTAGATGGTTCAGCAGGGAAGGTATGTTTTGCGAAATCTGCTTGACATGTGTTCACTTAACTTTGGGAGTTACGCAGTCAGCATTTCGCGAAGTACTTCATGCAGAGCGTTGCGAGAGGAATTCCATGCAAAGCAAAGAGCGGTTCTAAAGACGGTTCGAAGTCCAACAAAGTGTAAGTAATGCATAGAAGGTTATACGTTGTATTGTCATGCTACGTACTAGACTGCAGTGAATGCAACAGCTTATCATACAGGTATAGGAACAAGAACCAACAGGATCCTTGTACAGCTCCCTCGTATACTATATAGGGCCTAAATAATTACCCATATTATTTTGGGGGGTTCCTTATTCTAGTTATAGTAGAATATACCCCAAAGCCCTATTCTAATCATTAAGGCCCCTACATTACAATGTATCCCCTAATTCTGTTCGAATTACGAAGGCCCATACCTGATACTGGATATAGTTACAGCCTGGGACGCAACAGGCCTTGTATAAAGGAAGCGTTAAATGCATGCCGGGGACATCATGGAGCTCCATGTTCACTGTCATCATTTCTCATCATAGGGTTTTAGGGTTTATTGTTCATTATCTTCGTGTGTTAGTGACCACCATGGCGCTGATGATGCTTCGAAGTTGAGCGGCGGCCAGTCCGGGAACATTCGAATTTGTCGGGGGCGTGCTTCGGTTTTGAACTTCATAGTTTAATTTGGCAAGTGGGGTTGATGGGGTGTCGGACCTTTGGCTGTAGGGGCGCAGAGCTCAAGGCTTGAGGCCCAAGCAACGGTACAGCAATACTATAAACCACGAAGCCAGAATCTCGAACGCTACGGTCTGAACTCCGACCTCTGTTCGGAAGTGTACATCCTCGCACAACCCTAAACCCTAAACCCTAAAACCCTAAAACCCTCAACCCTAAACCCTAAAACCCTCAACCCTGCACCCTAAAACCCTAAAGCTCTAAAACCCTCAACCCTAAACCCTAAACCCTAAAACCTTAAATTGCATGTTCATGGGCGGCATGTCGGCAGGCGGACAGTCTGCGGGCTCTCGGCCTTGCAGTTCAGGCAGGATGCTTCCCTAAACCCCCAGGTACCTACTATATAGGGCCCTAGGGGCTCTTGTACCCTATATAGTAGGTACCTGGGGTGTTAGGGTTTGCTAGCGCTCTAGTACCTTATATAGTAGGTACCTGGGGTGTTA